TGAAGCGTGCAACAATATGGCGATGTCACCCGACTTTGTATTGAAAATGACAAAGCTGAATGGGACAAACTATCGCGATTGGGCATTTAACATGCGATTACACCTCGAAAGTTTAGATCTATTTGAACACGCCGATGGATCTGCAAAAAGCCCTGCTGATGATGCTCCTGAAGCGGTGAAAAAGAAGTTCATATCTTCCGCGAAGAAGGCGTGGACTTACATTTGTTTGGCCGTCGAGCCTGAACAACAAATTCATGTCCGGAAAACGAAAACAGCGAAAGAGGCGTGGGATGCCCTAAACGCCCAATTTGCACGAGAGTCAATTTTGCTGAAAATCAAGTTAAGGCAGCAATACTTTTCCTGCAAATTCCAGTCTGGAAGTAATATGTTGCAACATATCAATCACATGCGTTCACTTCATGATCAAATGCGAGAGATGGGGATAAGTGTAAATGACAAGGAATTGGCGATGACCTTGTTGGCAAGTCTGCCTGATGAGTACAAACCTCTGATTACCGCATTAGATGCTGTTGGGGAAGATAGCTTAACGTTTGAAAAAGTCAAAGGCATGTTGTTGAATGATGTGGACAGAATGTGTGATGAAAAGAAGTATGAGGATGCCTATTCCGTTCAAAGAGGTAGATTCAACAATGACAAGTCAACTCATGGAAAAGGGAAAGATCGAACTGATTATAAGAAACAATTTCAAGGAGTTTGTCACAATTGCAAGAAAAAGGGACACTTTGCCAGAGACTGTCCAGAACGTTATAAAAGAGGGAATAAGCAACAACATGGTGATCAAAATAAGGGATCCGTCCATTGTGCGGAGAAAGATGAAGCTGATCTTGATCAAGAAGCTTTAATTACATCCAACTGTGGAGATAATGTCCACTGGATTGTAGACTCTGGGGCTACTCAGCACATGACATACCAAAAGAACTGTCTATATGATTATGTGGATTTCAAGAAGCCATGCATTGTAAACCTAGGTGATGATCGAACCATATCAGCGTATGGAAAAGGATCATACAATATTTTGGCAGATATCAATGGTCGTACCCAAAATATTAGTCTTCGTGAAGTACTGTATCTTCCAGAATTAGGAAAAAACTTGTTATCTGTAAGAGCAATGACAAGATTGGGCGCCTCAGTAAAGTTTCAAGGAGATGAATGCTTAATCTCAAGAAATGGAAAGTTATTGGCAAAAGGTGAGATATGTGGAAAATTATTTGTGTTAAAAACTATCGGTGACGAGCAAGTCAATGTTGCGAAGAAAATGTCTCAGGGAGAATTATTGCATTGTCGGTTTGGGCATTTGGGATATGATAACATTTCGAAACTTGCTAAAGGTAATATGGTTAAAGGAATGAATAATTTTCAAGAAGATGAAATCAAGTCTGTGTGTGAATCATGTATTATGGGGAAACAACATAGGACTCCCTATCCAAAGAACGACCCTCACCAAGCAGAGAAGTCATTCGAAATTGTTCACAGTGATGTGTGTGGTCCAATGGAGATACCATCTCTTGGAAAATCTTTATATTTTGTCACATTTATTGATGACCTTTCCCGATATACACAAGTATATTTCATCAAACAGAAAAACCAAGTCCTGGAAAAGTTCAAGGAATTTGTAAACTATGCTGAGAATTCTGGGAAGAAGGTGAATATCTTGCGCACTGACAATGGAGGTGAATACTGCTCTAAAGAATTCAATTCATACTTGAAAGAAAAAGGCATAACACATCAAACCACTGTCCCCCACAATCCAGCACAAAACGGAGTGGCTGAACGGATGAACAGGACACTATTAGAAACTGCTCGATCGATGATGGCTCATGCAGACATTCCCACTGAATTCTGGGCTGAGGCTGTGAGTACAGCAACCTGTATAAGAAACCGAAGTCCTACTACTGCTGTGAAAGAGGTAACACCATTTGAATGTTTCTTTGGTTATAAGCCAGATGTGTCAAGCATGAAGATATTTGGTTGCTTAGCATATGCCCATATTCCTAAAAGCAAACGAAAGAAATTAGACGCTAAATCCTCAAAATGCATATTTGTGAGTTACCCTGAAGGTACAAAAGGATTCAAATTATACAATCCAGAAACAAAGTCATTCATCAAGAGCCGAGATGTAATTTTTGATGAATGGAAGTTTTACAACTTTGACAATAAAAATTCAAACACTACTAATACATTTGAGATACAGACACCTTCTATGCAAACAGATGATGATAACGAAGAAAATGATGATCTTGCTGTAAGAGAAGATAATATTTTTAATCCTGAACCTAATAATCCAGTGGGAGAAACTTATGAAGAAACTTTTATGCAACAAGTTAAGAATCTGAATTCGCGAAGAGAACGAAGACCCCCTGTTAGATACCCCGATGAAGAGTTATATGTTGCAGATGATCTCACTGCAGATATTAACGAACCCAGGAACAATGAAGCATGGTCATGTGATCAGAAAAAGGAATGGATTGAAGCCACTAATGCTGAGTATATTTCACTGATGGAGAATAAAACGTGGGAGCTGGTAGCTTTACCCAGTGGAAAGAGAATGTAGTTGGAAGTAAATGGGTTTTCAAGGTCAAGCGGAATGCTGATGGATCGATTGAGAAATTCAAAGCGCGTCTGGTAGCCCAAGGATACTAGCAAGCTGCGGGAGTTGATTTCCAGGAGGTATTTACTTGCTCTGGCTAACTCTCTGGATTGGGAAGTTCATCAGATGGACGTAAAGTCAGCGTTTCTACAAGGAGATCTTAATGAAGAGATTTACATGCGTCAGCCAGATGGGTATGTTGATAAAGGTAATCCTAATCATGTATGCAAACTGAAAAAGAGCTTGTATGGCATAAAACAAGCAGCTCGATGCTGGAATTCCTCAATAGATCATTACTTGAAGATAAGTGGGTACAAACAAGCCGATTCAGACCAATGTTTGTATATGAAATCAATCAAAGCAAAGGATGGAAGAATCAATTTTGTCATCCTGTCTATTCATGTAGATGATATTTTACTTTTCTCTAACAGTATCGATATGTTGAATAAAGAAAAGTTATTAATTGGCAAACGATTTAAAGTTCAAGACTTGGGTGAAGTGAACTATGTTCTCGGCATGGTAGTTAAACGTGACCGGAAGTCAAGAAAGCTGACCATTAGCCAACCAAAATATCTTGAAGGTATTCTCAAGAGATTTCAAATGGAAAATTGTAAACCTGTTAGTACACCAATGGAAGTAGGAAAACAGTTTTGGGCATTATCCGAAGATGAAAAGCCCATTAATGTTCAAGAGTACCAAAAGATGATTGGATGCCTTACATATGTTTCTACGGCAACACGTCCCGATTTAGCAAGTGCAGTACGAATTCTGGCAAGATACATGTCTAGACCTGGAATGGAACATTTCAAAGGAGTAAAAAGAGTTTTAAGATATATTAAAGGGACTATTAATCATGGTCTAGTATTTAAAGCTAATGAAGAAAAGCAAATGATTATTGGATATTCTGATGCTGATTGGGGAAACGATTTGGATACTAGAAGATCAATATCTGGGTATGTGTTTCAAGTCAAAGGAAGTACGGTAAGTTGGTGTAGCAAAAGGCAAACATGTATTGCAAGGTCTTCTACCGAAGCTGAATACGTCGCACTAAGTTTAGCTACACAAGAAATTGTATGGTTGAAGAAGCTCCTACAAGATGTGAATGTAAGATCAGAAAAATCATTGGTTATTTATGAAGATAACCAAGGAGCTATCGAACTATCAAAGAATGCCAAGTTTCATAACCGCACCAAACATATTGACATTGCATTTCACTTTATTCGAGAGAAAGTTGGGAATGGGTCAATTGATGTGAAGTACTGCCCTACAGATCAAATGTTAGCCGACATCATGACCAAAAGTCTATCCAAGGAAAAATTTATAAAATTCAGAGAACAATTGGGAGTTTCTGAAATCAATTAACTTTAGTCTTGTTTAATAATGATATCCTCAAGTGGGAGTGTTAGGAATGACGATACATTACATATGTATTAAACAAAGTATTATACATCTGATCATAGTGCTAGTCACATGATCTAGTAAGCACTATTTATTGTATGCTAATTTTACATTTTCACACTTTAAATTGTGTTCTGCTCGACACCGCATGGCTTAGATCAACGCTCTTTATGTAACTTAAACTATTAAATATATGTCGTTTTGCTTCTGCTTTAACAATAAATTAACAGTAAAATCTTGGTGTTGTTTGTAGTTTTTTTGTCCTTTTTCTTTAGTTGTGAGTATATGATGGATATGTCGATATGTCTGTTTATTGTGTCGTTGTCTTTACTGTACCAAGCTTCTTTAAATTCGCGAGCGTGTTTAGTCTGTAAACTGAATATGACTACCGCTAAGGATGTCGAAACGTCAATCAACAACAACAAAAACAGTCCTTCTCAGGACTATACCAACCTGGACGATCTACATCTACAAACATGGAATGTCGTTTTATAATAAATTTGCTATATTCTATATGTTATATGTCAGAAAAAGTCAGCGTTTTGACATAAAATTATAGCTCTCAAGTCGTGTAAGCCTTTTGCCCACTGAAAACAATAATGTCAACATCTTAAAATGACTGCTCGCTGCTGTATTCCTTTTGTTACAGCTTATTTTTTTCAGAAAAATGAATGTGTCATTAAAAATTCTTTTATATGACAATCGTTAAGTGTAAAAACATGACATGTTCAACGTAAAACTCACACACAAGCCATATTGGCTTCATTTTATCATATGGCTTTTGTATTGGAGTTATCGTTCCAGTCTTTTCACTGAAACAAACTCAAGCGCCCAGTGGATTGTCGTCGACAATAACTCATGAAGCATTTGAAAAAAAAGTTTTAAAAATTTTATAGTAACCTAGAAAATATGCATATCTTATTAAAAATATGTGTTACTTTTAAACATGGTTGTTTCTGCAATGATTTGATTTTATATTTCTTTGTAACATCAGTTATTCCGAGGCGTCGCGATTTTATGGAAAACTTGTCAATAATATTAATGAGAAACCCGTTGATTTAAAAAAGGTAATTTTTTGTTTTTTTACTTCATCAAAAAAAAGAAGCTGTTGACGCCATTGAAAGGAATTTCATGCTTAGGTGTCTGCAATGTGCTTTTGCCGCAATTCGTGTGTATTATTGTATTCAATTGCTTGTATAAGGATAAATTACGGTTAAATCATGCAAATTCTATACAGGGCGTCCGTTTCAAAGGGTTGCATTCTATTCCTCTTAGTGTGGTGTATCTAGTCTCGCAAGAATCTACGTTGACTTTACCGAGTCTTTGGCGTACTGTGGCAGATGGAAGGATTGTCTTGTCGTGTGTGAAAAGTTCTTGAAGAAATTTGATGGTATTGAAACATATTGTAGACTTAAGTAATCTCGTCAAATTTTATATTGGCAATTTTCCAATTATACAGTGGTGTTCGTCGGCCTTACAAATTTTTTTGTCGAATTTTGAAGGTTTTTGAAAACATTTGGAAGCCCTCTTGGCCATAAGCCTTCCGAACGAAAATCCATCACTGCCGTTTTTAAGAACGGATTCTGCTTTTTGCATGCCATCCCTTGTTTTCAATTAAGAAATAAAAGATGTTTACTGTGTTTGCACAGGCTTATACAAACCGAGGAGAATTTTGAGAGAACTCGAAAGCAGATCAGTGCAAGCCCGAGACCGAAGGTCGAGGGTTGCACCTGCTCGAGAGTGCAACTGTTTGATTGTTATGATTGATTTGATTGGTTGAGCTCAGGTGTGTTTTGCACAGGCTAATGCAAACACAGCTCTAGACCAATCAGCGAACGCGTTTCATTGTGTTTATTTTATGATACCGTTTGATGCACTCGCAGTTAGATGGGCCTCAAATTGCTTATAATACATCAAGTATCACAGTAGAAATTTTGTTGGAATCATAAACTTAAGTAGGAAAGGCCACCCACAATAAGTTAGGCCTTTCCTGAGAGGCTAATCCGACTTGTTACATGTTCTGTCCCATGAACACAATGAGCCACAATATGACAACAGAAATATGAAAAACTAAGGAAACGTCTTTATATCCAGGTCGAGCTTCTATGAATCCAAATTTTATGACTAATGCACAAAGATATGTTGTACAGAAATTTTGCTTTCCTCTGAATTACTAATAAAGTTGGATTTAGTTGGTTTACTAAAGATTTTATTACCAGCATTATTCACTTACGAATTTTTATTATAAAGGTGCTTCGAAAACATTTCGTTTTTTTTTATGAGATACTGTTTGCTTTACAGCTTCCAACATAATATGTAAACTACTTACTTCCGAAGATGTTACTGCGTTTGATAAAGGAAAAGACTTAATCAAAATCATGGTACAAAAGGCCGAAGCTTTGAACAAATTGAAGAAACTGATGGAAGCTGTCGATTGTTATGAAAAGTAAGTTATTAGCTATTTATCTGTCGATGTGTAGGGAAAAATGATATATGATACGAATTGTAAAGAGCAAGTGCCTGCATAGTAGCATACTAATTACCAAGTTCACGTACATATCGCTTTTTGAGCTCGTTAATCCAAAAACAAAGCCATGGATAGATTTACTGCATTTTACATCAGAGGGCTACAACTGCGCATAATCTGATCTTTCATCTTCCCCAATGCAAATATAAAGAAAACTCATGATATCAGCGAACGCCCAAGTCATTGTTTGCCAGCCCTACAAACTCTGATCACATGAAATAAAACAAATTTATATGAACTTCCTTATGACATTGGTCAAGCTTCCAGAAATTCGTGGATATTCGATAAACACAAACCTTGATAGGGAAAAGTGAACATTTAGTTGTACGATTGTGGACAATGAAAAATGCAATTGACCCAATAGGCCGTATTCTATGGTGGATTATTGTTCAGGTTCAGATGCAGAAATTCATGACTTAGTAAAAACAACATAGATGTACTGATATGTACTCACTTAATATAAATCTGCCTGTTTACACCACGAAAACCTGCAATCAAGACAGCTAGAGCCATCAAAAATTCGACATTTATTTTCTATATCCGCCATATTGTTTTGTGTGAAATTCGCTAAATTTGCTGGCTCATATTCAAAAAACGGTGCTAAATAATGATTAGGGATCAATCCTTCTAAGTTAATTTGAAATGATATGTTTAGCTATTAATCTTCCATAGCTGCTTGATGGACAAAAAGACTAAAAAATGAAAAAACAATTCTTGAAATTGAATTGTGAAGGAGTCCTTCATCTTATTGTGTAAATAATATAACGATAATAAATTGGCACATGAGATTGCGTACTCAGAATCCTTTGGTCGCCATCTAGTTCCTGCTGTACACACTGCTGAGCAGTGCATTGAAAACGTTCATGAAGTTTTCATGTGTATCGTCGGCATCATCGTAATCGCTATCATCGCACTCATCCGGCTCTTTTATTGGGCCGTCATCTTCAGAGGCGTAGTTACTGAGGTCAGAACAACCGCAAATGTTAGTACATTGCAAACCAGACTTCACGCACGAGCATCGAAGATTCTTGCAACCAGCTTTACACTTGCATGTCATGCACTCAAGTGTATCTGGAGCAGAAGGTCCAGTCATCCAAAGAATCTCTAACTGACCATTTTTCATGTGCCATCCATGGCTCACAGGAGGTTGAACATTAATGTGCGATTGCAAACTATTCTTCCAGATGGCTGCTTGGTAGTTGGCTCTCTTAATGTGCAAAAGCAGGCTATCTGCATTCGGGGGAAGGCATTCATCCGAACACTTGCCAGATACAAAGAGAGTGTACCTAGGACCGAAAGAAATACAAAGCAAATGCAAAAAAGACAATAGTAGCAAAAATATATTTTATATTTACCTTGAAGCATTAACACGCGCTGAACTCTTATCGCCATAAAGAAGACATACAAATTTATTTAAAGAAAGCACTACTTCCTTAGGAAGATCAGATGTCGAACGAAGTAATTTAAATGTTTCGATAAACTCAGGGTTATCATGAAGTACCTTCCAAGGTTTCCCTTTTCCCGTAAAGGCACTCGTAGAATCGCAGCCTATGCCGAAAAAAGAAATTATACCAATTGTAGATTGTTTGTAGCGCATGAGGCTTTTTACTTTTCATTTTATGGTGATAAAGCCTTGTTTTTTTTCAATTATGCAAAGAAAAAATTACAAGGTTTTATGGATGTTTGCTGGACATATAAATTGTACTCACCTGTGAATGCATGAAATGACGGTAAGCATTGGCACAAATCCTCGCCGAGTCCATCTGATATTGATGTGATATTTATGGCTCGAAATTTTTTACCAGTTCCCGTCAATAAATAAAGATCTTTAACAATTTTCTTCTGCATGGCAGTACAAATTACAAAAACATCAGTATCGGGGGTTTTGACGATAAGATGATCATAGGTTTGCGCTGCATGCTTTACATGAAGTAGCAAGCGAGTATCTGCTTCTTCATGGTTACTCTCGAGCTCAGGAATATTTTCTGGAATAACTGGATCACTTGCTGATTTTCCTGGAGTCAGCCGAATGCACTTAGTATTGCTGGTTACATACAAGCAGGACAGACCAGAGAGCTGTGGTTATAAATAGGTACTCCAATAATCAGACACAAATGCCATAAGAGACTCTTTGTTCTTACCAGAGCTCATGAACTTTTTCCACTGCTTTGGTAATATTTGGTCTTTGCTAAAGATATGGACAGTCTGTGAACCTTTAGAGAAAAATAGTGAAACTATTTAAGGACTAAGATTGAAAGATTGTTCTTATTTAAATCAATTATACCTTGGACGCTGGCTCGACGTGATCTCTCCGTGTTTTTAATGCTTATCTCAGGATACGTATCACCCACAAAATCCAATCTTGAAACTTTCCACTGCTTTGTAAGCTGGACCAAGAAACTAAAAGTGGAATCAGCAAACTCACCAAATGTCTTCCACTTGCCCTTTAGAACATGAAAAACTGCCATTGCATCTACAAGTAACGCACTTCCATCTAGGTTTTCGACATTTGCATGCATTGGTTGTTTTGCAAAAGGCTCCAATATTTCAAACATCTTTGACTTTGCAGTCTTCACCATACCTCCTGAGACAGTAGCAAGTGATAGCGGATAATCACTAAGGCTGTAAGACAGCAATTCTTTCAGGTTTATTTCACGGGTTTTCGACAAAACAAGCAGTTTTGCAAATAGCAAATTTATTCAAATTTATGCAAACATCAATTTATGCTTTGTAATGGCGGGCAAGTGAACTATAAAATGACTTTAAAATGAAGAAAAATCTCTTGGCTTATGTAAAAATCTAAAAATATGGCAAACTATTGTCGTTTTTACGGATGTTGATGATACGAAAATAGAATTTAATAAACAATTCACGGTGACATGGTAACCGGATTAAATTGTAGCGTATGCTTTGGACTTTTCTCAAGAAAATCGACCCTTATCTTCTGTGTAGTACAGTACGATGTTGATGAATGATATGCGTCTCGGCAAGGACTGCTTTATTTTATGTACCAATTATGTATAATGGACTTGGGCAAACGAAACTATGAACTCTTCTCAAATTGATTCAGATTGTGTTTTATGTGCAAGGATTTAAATAATTGAATGGCCTTGCTTCTACAGAATTTAAAACTGAGAGATTAAGGGTAACAAAGCAAAAGGTCGTTTCGTTTCTCTTTATAACAGCTGAGTAAAATGCTTGAAAGAAATGTGTCTGTACAGACATAAGTCACACATATTTGTAAAAGATGACAGTGATGGACTTTTTCTTTATTAGAAAACATTTCTTTGAGTCATCATAGTTAGTAGCCATGTAATCTAGCAACTGTCTTTTCTCTGCTTGTGACATTTTATATTCACAGCTGTAGACAAAACCCTTTTTTGTTCTTAATTCTGCCTTCCAACAACTGAGTTATAAAATCTATTGGGTATATTTATTAATGAGCCTTAGCTATTAAACTTTTATTTATGCCTTTGTGATTTATTAGCCTATCTTTGTCTAAAGCTTGGGAGTTTTATTCATTTTTTTCTACTTTTTAAATCATCAAACAGTTGCTAGATCTTTATTGGCAGGCAAGATTGTATGTACATTGAAAATAAGCATTTTTACATAGAAAATACTTGATGAAATATCAATAAAACCCACTAATTGACTGTCATGTATATTTTCTTCTTGTGTAATAAACCATGTGCAATGGATAATGTATATATGTCAAGCAACATGGACCTTCACCATGCATGCTGATGAAATGTTTTAAAGTATTTAAGAAACTAAAATCATTGTATCTCATGCAGCTGATACACAAAAGAGTAGTCATGAATAAAAACTGTTGTAAAGCTCATGTATCTATATGTATTATCATTGGTATACTTAGAACAACATTTATACTGTAGTACCTCTTTGTTTTAACATAATCTAGCTTTATTTTCCATAGAGCAAAGAGTTTATATGATGCATATGATATTCAATCAAGCAAAATGCATAGGGAAAAACCCGTAATTTGAATATTTGATACATCCAAGGCTATAGGATTCATTGCTCGAATAACATTCTTTCTTTTTTCTGTCATTGAACGAATTGTACGTATCTGTAAGACAATGTAGCGAGTTATGTGCACTAATCTTAAAGAAGTGGCTCTATCTCAATGGAGAGTCTCGCTTATGAGTTGCAAAGAGCTACCGGACGCAAGAAAGATAATATAAAATGCAATTGCTCTTGTGTAAAAAAGGATATGTTATGTGGATAAATTGTTGGCTGTTTTTCGTCAGCAAAACTTGGGATGTTTTACAGCACTGACGAATTAGTACATTGTCCATAAAGCTCTTATTCTAAAAGCATTTGCCATGGAAGATACATGTGTGATTAAAAATTCAACGTAAAACCTTATTAATCAACATCTCGCCCATAATTGTCGTTGAGAAGATAAGCCGCCATATTTAACTGTGTTTTGAAAAGTTAACTATGCTCCATAGCATAGTTAACTTTAATTACCTTTTAACTGCATTTAGCGCTAACTGCTTTTTTATACAACCGACTTAACCGCGTGGTTAAATTTAACTACTTTTTAACTGCAAAAAGTGTAGTTAAAAAGTAGTTAAGAGCTTTATACAACTGGCCCCTGGTAGATTGTAGCTTGTCAAACTACTTCGATAGGCTATGCCTCTATACTCCTTGAACCGGGGAGTATCGTTACATGTTTGTAAATGTAGATCGTCCAGGTTGGTATAGTCCTGAGAAGTACTGTTTTTGTTGTTGTTGACTGACGTTTCGGCAACCTTAGCTGTAGTCATCTTCAGAGTCAAATGTGGAGTAAACGTCAGGTTAGCCGTATTTGTTATCTGGTTCCTACGTCATTGTATTGTTTGTACAGGAAATGTGTGGGTGTCAACTGTGTATTGTCATTGTGAATTAATGTGAAGTGTAATGTTTTTAGTTGATCGTTTGTTTGTATTGTGAATAAGTCGTTGTAAGAGGCCGGAAATTGCTGTAATCTGTTCAGGGGGGTTTTTCCAAGTTGGTATACCAACTTTCTAATTTAAGCCGTGGTCTATAGTCAGTACTGTAAGTAATGCATTTTGCCGAGTCCCAGTCAATGTTGTGCTCTGTGATTCGGAGATGTTCGGCAATGTGATTACTTTTGTCTTGTTTCTTTGTAGTTCGTTTGTGCTCAGTAAGTCTTACGTTTAACTTCCTGCCAGTTTCCCCGATATAAGAGGCGTGGCAGTCGGAGCAGTTATTTTGTAAACTGCACCTCGTCGTTCGTTGGGTTGTTCTTTGTCCTTTATGTTCGATAGTACTTGTCGTAATGTTGTGATTTGTTTATGTGCGACAAGTATGTTGTATGGTCGTAAGGTACGCGAGATACGTTTCAGACGTACCTTTGATGTAAGGTATCGTTGCTGTTGTCACTGAGTTGTTCATTTCGTTGGATTCGTTGGGTTTGTAAGTGTTACGTTTGATGAAGTCGAGTTATAGTTTGTAAGTGCCAGATTAAGTGGAATACTGGTGAACAGTGATTTCACATCAAAAGACACTAGTGTATAGTTGTCCGGTATTTGTATAGTGCTCAGTTTTGTAATGAAAGTTTCAGTGGATTGTGGCTTGTGTTTTGATTTGCTTGTAAGTGGTTGCAGTATGTCAGTCCAGTACTTGGAGAGTTCGTAAGTAGGTGAACTCAAAATGATACAATTGGTCGCATGGGTATTTGTGGTTTGTGAAGTTTTGGTAGTCCGTATAGTCTGGGTGGTCGTGGTACTGACCATCTAAGTCGACAGTAAAGACGTTCAGATATAATGTTAGATTTTCTCATAGAGAAAATCTTGCTGTT